AAGTTGAAAATATCATGTCAAAAATGCATTTAATACATCTAACCTACCAAACATCATAGCTTAGCCTAGCCTACCTTAAATGTGCTCAGAACACTTACATTAGCCTTTAGTTGGGCAAAAGCATCTAATACAAAGCCTATTTAATGATAAAGTGTTGAATATCTCATAATTTATTGAATACTGTATTTATAGTGAAAAACAAAATAGTATGCATAATCTCCATCAATATACGTAGCTGAAAGCACCATCATAAACTTGAAAAGACTTAAGTTGAACTATCGTTAAGTTGAGGACCATCTGTACTTTGTAGATGTGATTAACATTTATAATCAGTAGACTTTAAGTAAAGCAGATTACCTGCTATAACATGAGTGGGCCTCATCCAATCAGTTGAAGGCCTAAAGAACAAAAACTGAGGTATGCCAGAGAAAAAGGAATTCTGCCTCAAGACTGTAATATAGAAATTCTGCCTGAGTTTTTGGTCTGCTGGCCTGTCCCTATGAATTTTGGACTCAATACTGCATTTTCAACTTTTGCCTGAGTTTCCAGCCTGCTGTCCTGCCTTACAAATTTCAGACCTGCCAACCCCCACAATCATGAGCCAATTCATTAAAATCTCTCTCTTATTAAACACACACACACACACACACACACACACACACACAGTCTATCTATAGCATACTTATATCCTCATATTTATGGTATACCACTCGGATTTATGGTGTACTTTCTCACTCTATTTCCTGTGTTTATTAACCTCTCCATCATATTTTTCATCTTTATTTCTTTGAGCTACATTTTTGAATGATTTCTTCAGATCTGCCTTCTAAGTCACTGATTCTTTCTTCAGCTGGGTCTGATCTACTGTTAAACCCACCCCTTCAGTTTTAAGTGTACATAGGAATGCACTTCAAAAAGTTCATGCAAAGATTTGTATTATCTTTCAATTCTATTTTTTCCATAAACTCTTTGAAGTACCCTCACATATATATTTCCAGAAGTTTTATTTGATTCTCTTTTGCATATCTGCTGGGCTACTCATATCATTAAAGTTTCTTGTTTTCCACATATATTTTCAAGCTTGTCTTTTATTTCTTTAAACATATTAAATATAGTTATTTTATGGTTGTGTCTAATAATTCTATTATCTGAACTCCTTGTGGGTCTATTTATATAGTCTGTTGTTTCTGCTAAATCTCACTCACAGTACCTTATTTTTTGAGTATTTGGTAATTTTTTACTGAAGTCTAGTCATCTTCCTATAATTTAACAGGGAATAACTGAAAATTAATTTCTCAAGAATATTTTCAGTGTGAATTTGGGCCGCAAGCCTACATGAGGTTCCAGCTTATGCATCCTAATTCTTAGGGGGTGAATTTTCCCATTTGTTTTATGTCAGGGCTTAAGACAGTCAAATTTTCTTGCAATCTGCTGGGTGAGGGGAAGGTGGGAGGTGGATTTGCTTCATTTTACCCTGATTATCTCTAAGGGTTTGACTCTGTCAACCCAGTTTTATGGAGGAAGGATTTCCTGAAAGACTCCCCACCTGGGTGGGTGCTGGGCTTTCTCTCTTGTTCTTCAGGCTTTCAAAGGATGTGGAACCAAAATTCAATCAAGCTCACCCATTTCAGAAAATTCTTTCAGGGCTCTGCTTACCTCTGTGAGTTTCCATTTCCATTTAGTTCAGGGCTCAGAGTGGGGAAGGCCACTCTGACCCTTTCTGTCAGTTCAATGATGCTTCTGAGAAAATATTTTGTACCTTTTATTCCAGATTTTCAGTTGTTGAAAATGAAAGGAGCAATCCAGATACCCAGACCCTTCATATTATTGGAAACAGAAATACCCATAAAATATTTTTTAATGTTAAAACCTTGCATTTAATGTTAAACCCAAACCTGTCATGATATTACGTACATCATGCATGTAACATATGTTATTGAAATTAGTTACTCATATTTTGATTTTTATATCTTCGTTTATAATTGAAATTGTCCTGTAATTGTTCTTTCTTATCCTAATCATGACTGGTTTTTTAAAATCCTGGTAATACCCATCTTTAAAATGAGTTGGAGAGTGTTTCTTCCTTTTCTCCTAGGCAAAGACCGAGAGAGAGAATGGGACCTGTCCAAGGCCACATGAGTTTGGTGGCCTGGTCAGGACTGAGGTTCCCTGACCCTCAACTACAGGCTCTTTCTGGACCCTTCACTGCTACCCAGACACATGGAGGACACAGCTTGCCACTCCCTCTGCACCAGGTGTCCAGGTCAAAAAGGTGCTAAGTGGATGAGTAGAAAACATACATACACATAGATGGGTGGATGGGTGGATGGATGGATGGGTGGGTGGATGGGTGGATGGGTGGATGGATGGATGGATGGGTGGATGGATGGGTGGATGGGTGGATGGATGGATGGATGGGTGGGTGGACGGGTAGGTGGACGGGTGGGTGGGTGGATGGATGGGTGGGTGGATGGATGGATGGGTGGGTGGATGGATGGATGGGTTTTCCCCACTCTGGTCTCTGTGGCCCATCATGAAGTGGATGGTTCAGGGCTTACACCCGGCCTGGAGCCACCTGCCTGGGTCTGGGTTGAGCTCCACCCTTTAATGGCTGGGAGATCCTCTTCCGCCTCATCTTCGTCATCTGTGTTCATTACGCTGTGACGAGAGTGAACATGCTCACCACAGTGGCCAGCCTGTAGCAAATGCAAGATGTTCCATTCCAGAATGCACAGTTAGGGCTCCCTTGCCTGGACTGTGCCAAGGCCCTGGGTCTCAGGTGGAGTGGAGCTTTTGGTGTGTGTGGTGTTGGAAGGGGACTCCTCCTGTCTGTCCTCTGGGCCACTGCTCAAATGCTCTTTGGGCTCACTGTGAGGGTAAAGCCACATGGCTAGGGATGTGCCCCTGCAGCCACCAGGGCACACTTCTCCCAGAACCCCCTCCTCCCCAACCCCAAGTTTTGAAAATAAACACTAGGAAAGGAAAATGTGTTTAGGCAAATTCTGGTTCTTTCTGCCCCATGACCTGCAACCTCCAGCCAAGGGGACACCTAGAATGACTTCCTGGGACTGGGAAAAAAATAATCTGGGGATGACATACTAATGGCACCTCAGGAAGTCACCGTGCCCTCTGCCAGCTTTGCATATAGGCTCCAGAGCTGGAGCTCCTGGTAAGGGCTCAGAGGCCAACTGTGTGCATCTCTTCCTGACTCAGCCTCAGTGACAGCACGCTGGAGGCTTGAGAATTTCAGAGACATTCCCTCCCCATGTCAAACACCAGCACAACACTGGGCAGGAGCCATGGCTAATAGCAGCAGGGATGGGAGGGGCTGGACCCAAGTTCAGAGTTGGGATAAAGCCAGCAAGAGTCCCTTTCCTTTGTCAAGTTTATTTTATTAAAATATACAGGACTGAATATTGGTGGGCACTGAGAACAGGAACCACCCTCCCAGGCCATGCCTAAGGGAGATGCTTCTGCCATGCAGATATGTGGCCACTCCCTGTCCCAGTGTGGGAGACAGACCGCTCTTGGTTGGACCTACAGCCAGTCTGGCCCTGAGGCTGGGGGCAGGGGCATGGTGGTGACCCTCTCCTGAGGACTTGGCCCCTAAGAAGCAGAGCAACACCAGCTAGGAGGGCCAGGCTGGGGGGTGAGGGGAGATCCCTGAGCCAGGGAAAGCTGATGCCCTCCTGGAGGAGGGAAGAGGCCCCCCGTCAGACTGGAGATGGTGTCAGTGCAGCTCCGAGGGGAGGCCCATGTGTGTGTGGGTGCCGAGGGCCCCCACGGCCTCCGCCATCCCATTTTCCTGTGAGGGCCCTGCTCACCCTGGGTCTAGCCTCCGGGGGGCACCCAGGGATCCCGGGGCTGGCCTGTGCAGAGGCGGGCTGCAGCGATGGAATGTGTCTTGTGGGAATGTTCCTCGGAAGGGCCCGTGCTGCCCGGCGCTGGATTCCTTCTCACATCTCTCTCCCCCTGGAGGTTTCTGTCGACCTGCTGTCCGGCCACAGGCTCCTCTGCTCTCACTGCTGGCTCTGGCTTTGGGCTGACATTGGCCTTTATCCCCAGAGTAGACCCCAGCCAAGCAGAGTCCCCGGGGTTTGTGCTTTTAAATGTTGGTGAGCTGGGCCGGGCTGGGATGGCCTTTGAGTCCCCACTGCTCTGAGGCACAGAACAGACCCCTGAGCTTCTTCCCCAGGGCCACCCAGATAGGGGCCACTGGGACCCAGGCCTCAGCCCACCAGGAGGGCCCTGCCTGCAAAAAGCAAGCATCCTAGGCTCCCCTCAGGGGCCGTGGCCTGAGCTGCCAGGGGTGCTTGTGCTTTTTGTAGGGGGTCGTGTTAAGCCTGAGCAGAGAGGCGGCCACCCAGCTTCGGGAGAGGGGCTGAGCCAAGGGCGACGGACCGAGGGGGAGAGGGAGGGAGGGGCCCCTCCCGGGTCCCCTGAGCACTGCCCCCAGGCTCCTGGCTGCCAGTCCCTGAGCCATGTGACCTCCTCCGAGGACTTAAGAGGACCTTGGGAAGAACAGGCCTGTGCTGGGGGGATGTGGGCAGCTCCCCCCACCACATTCCCACTGAGCTGAGACTGAGAAGGGGGAAGGCTCTCCCGCCTGTGCAGTGGGCAAACAGTCCCTTCAGTCTCCACAGGAGACCCAGCCCCCGAGCTTGACAGGCCCCCTTCCTGTAACTGAGGGAGAATGAACCCGGTGGCCCCCACCACCCATCCTTGTCCATGGTGGGCAGCCCGGTACAGGCTCCAGCCACTAGGCCAGTGGAGTGGCAGGGGCTCCAGGGAGGCATTTCCAGAAAGCAGCAGGCTTTGCCTCACCACCACCTCTTTCCTAGTCACAAGTCCCAGCCCCCAGGGTCCTGGGGTGAGGGGCTTTCTGGGAGCCTAGGGCAGCGGGAGGGAGCGGCTGGGGGTAGGAGGAGGCCCGAAGAGCCCCGGAGCCAGGCCCACTGTGGGGTAGGAGGGGGGGTGCAGGAAGGAGGGGCGAGGCGGGCTCACACAGAAGGGGCCTTTACTCTGGAGACTGGGCCCTGCCCCACAGGGGAGCCTGAGCCCCTTCCTGGTAACACCCCATGGCTGGCGGGCTGTGGACAGCTGCCCACCCGAGGCAGCCTCCTCCCACTGGCCTGTGCAGCTCTCACCTGGACCTGGCTCTCAGCCAGACTCAGCCCCTCCCTGGCCTCTGCCAGCCCAGAGGAACAGCTTGCGTGCGTGCATGTGTGCGTGTGTGCGTGTGAGTGTGTCTGGAGCAAACTGTTCACTTTTTGCAAATACATTAGAAAAAAGTTTCTCATGGAGGCTGCTCCTGGCAGGATTGAGGTTTCTTGGGGTGGAGGTGGCCGTGGACACCCAGGCCCCTCCACATGTCCTAGATGACGTTCTCGAAAAGCTGCATGGAGCTCATGATGTTCTCATCCTGTGTGGAGAGAGCGGAAGATGCCCTGTCAGGTGCTGGTGGGTGGGGGCGGAGGGGGGGTCCCCAAATCTGGCTGGGAATCCTGCAGTGGCTACTCTGTCTGTCTTTCTGAGTGGATGGGGGAGCTGAGGAGGTCCCTGGGCTGGTTAGGCCCAATCTGCCTGCAAGCCTAGCTGGTGACTCACTGGTGGGCTACACACACCGAGACGGAGGGGTCCCTGAGGCTGCTCTGGAGTGAGGCAGTGGCGAAGACAGTGGAGGCCCAGACCCTTGCCCCCCAAGGGTGCTCTGCAGATGAGGCCAGCAGCCACGTTTGGGGGCTCTGGGCACCTTTCCCCAGTGTGACCCCCTCCAAGGGCCACAGGTCCGAATCACTCTCTGTTGGCCCCACGTCTGCCCCTCTGATTGGCAGCTCTACAAGGTCAGGGCTGAGGGAGGGTTTGCCCAGATGGGCTGTGGGCTGGCTGGAGTGGGTGGGGGGGGTGCTGGCGAGGGCATGGATTCAGACAAGAGTGAAAAGAGAGCTTGGAGCCTCTTTTGATCCAGCCACCTAGGAGGTGGGGAGGGCCCGAGGACAGCTGACATGTCCTCCCAGGGCCAGCCAGGCCAGGACTGAGGGCTGTGAGTGTGGGAGGTCTCAGCCACTCACCTCCACACCCAGTCCACACAGGACTCTGTGCCCAGCCTCCCGATGCCACCTACCTTCTGACAGGTCTCCAGAAACTCGTCAATGGTCACCACCCCGTCTCGATTCCGGTCCATTTTCTGCAACCCAAGCCATGCCCAAGGTAAGTCTGTGCCCTGCCAAGGATGGCCCCTGCCCCCAGCCTGAGGACGTGGCAGTGGACAAAGGATGGGCTCCCTCCACCCCCACCTGTCCCCTCGGCAAGTGGATTCAGGCCACATAAAGTGCCTCCTGAGCCATCTGCAACCCCACTGCCGGCCTCTCTGGCATCTCCCCAGTCTGCCCGCTCAGCTGCTCCCCTGACAGCCTCCCTGGGCTTGTGCTTCCCAGAACCTGTCCCTGTGATCATCTGACCCCCTCACCTCCCTGACAGGCAGCCTGGGCAGATGAGGCAACCGAGGCCCAGGATGGCCAGCTGTCTAGAGGGCACCCAGCAAGTGGGAGGTGGAGCCTTCAGCCCCTCTAACCCTAACCCCTCACCCCTCCCCCTGATGCAGAGCAAAGGCAACCCCAACCCTGCTCCTTTCACAGAGTGTTTCTCTGGAGGAGCTGGAAAAGCTCCCGTAAGGCACCGGCCTGGGGCAGCACAGTGTGAGTGTACGAGCGTGTGTGTGTGCGAGTGCATGTGTGTGCACCTGTGGGCGCGCATGTGCTCATGTGTGAGTCTGTGTGCCCGTGTGTGTGTGTGTGTGTGTGTGTGTGTGTGCGCGTGCGCGTGCTGGGGATGGCATGGTAGCTGTCTCAGAATCCACGAGCCCCAGCCTGCCCTAAGAGGAGGTTTTGCAGAGAGGGCCTGCTGATGTTTTTTTTTTTTTTAAATAATGACTGGTAAGGGGATCTTAACCCTTGGCTTGGTGTTGTCAGCACCACACTCTCCCACGTGAGCCACGGGCCGGCCCCCTGCCTGTGTTTTAATTCGCTCCTCAGGTTATTCTACCAGCCAGGTTGGAGAAGAAGTTGAAACTCCTTGTGGGGTAGCGGCTTGCCCACGGCCGCCCCGAGAGCAAGAGCCCCCTCCGCTGCCAGGCTACTCTTCCCCACCACCGGGGCGCAGCCCACTTACCTGGAAGAACCTTTCCACATGCTCTGCGGGTGCGTCCTCCCGCAGGATGGGGTAGGTGTGGCGGCCCATCATGTCATAGATGGACTTCACGATGGCCAGCATCTCCTGGAGGGGGGAGGGTGGTGATATGAGCCTGCTGCAAGGACCACAGGGCCTTGGTAGGGCCAAGGGAGGGGCTGCATCAAAGGGCAGAGGGCCACCTCCAGACAGTGATGAGCGAGTGTGAAGGGTCAAGTGAGGGGGACCCCTCCCAGTGAACCCAGCTTGAGCTCCTGGCCCTCCAAGAGGAATTTATCTCCAAAAGAAGTTGGAGATAGATTTTTATGTGCTTATCTCCAAAGTCTGAAACTGTAGCAACAATTTCAGACACAAAAACAAATGCTGGGCCGGCCCGGTGGCGCACTGGATAAGTGCGCCGCTTGGGAAGCGCGGCGGCGCTCCCGCCCGAGGGTTCAGATCCCACATACAGACCGGTTCCCGCTCACTGGCTGAGTGAGGCGCGGGAGCAACACCGAGGGTTGCAATCCGTTGCCGGACACGGAAAAAGACAAAAGACAAAAAAACAAAAAAAAAACCCAAATGCTTGGATCAAACAAAACCTGCCTGTGGGCCCAAGGGGAGGGAGCCGAGGCCAGGCCCCCTGGTTTCCCTACTTATGTCTCCCCAGACTCTCCTGTACGAAGGTGACCTGAGAACACCTAATGAGCTGGACCACTGTGTGGTGAGGGGCACACAACCCCACCTATACCTAGGTGTCCGGGCCTGAGAGCCCAGGGAGGAGAGCCCGCTGGCTGCTGTCCCCTAGGGCCAGGGTGAGGTCTCGTCTCTGGGTAGGGAGGGGAGCCAGGAGAGCCAGACAGCAGGAGAGAGGACAGGAAGAGAGGCTGGGTGTGGAGCAGCAGCAGGCGAGGGGGGAAGGTGGGTGCCTGCTCCCAGCCACCCCATACCTCTTTGGTGATGTAGCCGTCCTTGTTAATGTCGTAGAGATTAAAGGCCCACTTGAGCTTCTCATGGACTGTTCCTCGCAGCAGGATGGAGAGCCCAACCACAAAGTCCTGTGCAGGAAGGGGAGGTGAGGAGAGATAATCCGACGCCCAGATTCTGTTTGTGTGGCTGCCGCTGAAACTCACACCTCTGCAGGCGAGGCGCCTCCATAGCAGAGTGGGCGATGGTGTCCTCTCGAGGCAGCGCAGGGTGAGTGTACGAGTGTGTGCATGTGTGTGTGTGCATGTGTGTGTGTCTGTGTGCCCATATTGTGTGTGGATGTGGATGTGAGAGGGTGTGTGTGTTGTGTGTGTGCTGGGGATGGCACGGTAGCTAATACTGATCTCAAATAAAGATATTCGAATGTATGGTGTATTAGACATGTTTAATGCATTACTGCTGATAGAGAAGACCTGGGGGTGCTCTTTTAGTAAACGGGTACTCTACTTTTAGTTTTCCAGGCATCTGCTTGTCAGCTTAAAAAGCTAAACTAATGGTGTATCACTCTTGAGTCATGACATACCCGTGTGTTGCCATCACCATCACCTCTGGAGTGTGACAGATAATTTATTACTAATGTGACAAGACATGACTGTTCCAATGACTTCCATGTGAAAACTTCAGCTGTTTCACAGCAGTTGGTGGAAAGCAAGTCTTTCTCCCCACCTTCGGGAACGTTTGAAGGGTAAGCCCTCCCTGCCCCACGGGGTCCTCCCGGGCTACTCGGAAGGAAAGGGAGCAGAGAAGGGCTGTCCCAGAGAAGGGGTGTGTGTGTGGCCAGCCTGCAGAGGGACAGGCCATGCACCAAGGGGCTTAGTCCCCACTCAAATAATAGATTTTCTGGATTGGAGGAAGCCTGTACCACGAGAGAAAAATACTAAGGAAAACAGAGAAAGCAATTTAGAAGAAACAAAAACTATTCCAGGAGAAAAAAACTTAACAAAAACTAGTAGATTCAAAGGTTAGACATCTTGTATCCCTAAAGTAAGAATAGGATACTATAAAAAAAGAAATAATTGGAAACAAGAAAGAGTTCTTGGGAATTAAAAATAAGAAAGCAAAATGACAGACGTTGAAGGGTTGGAAGAGCAAGCAGAATCTTCTATAAAGCGGAGTGAGAAAGCAAAGGGCTGAAACGGGAGAGCAAAGTGAAATTTCAGAAAACGGTGCAAAGAGAGGACCTCGCAAGCTCCTGGAGAGAACAGCAAAGCCAAACAGAAAACAAAATCAGGTCGCATACGCAGGGTGAGGACCACGGGCTGTGGCTGCTGGACCGCGACGCCGGAGGCAGGAGGCCCAGGGGAGGTGCCGCCACCGTCTGAGGGAGGACAACTTGCCGTGGGTGTTCACGTCCATATGACATATGAAGCAAGAGTAAGAAGACAATAAAGACACTTCTGGACACCCAAAGGCTCAAAAATGACCTGTCACGTACTGTTTCGTAGGGAACTGCTGGAAGGTATGCCCCTAAAAGAGAGTAAAGCAACCAAGAGGAAGCAAGGGATTCCAGAACCCGGGGACCCCGTCCAGGGGAGCGGAAGAGGGCCTGCAGGGTTCCAGGGAGCTATCCTCGGGGGGATGCCAGGCAGGAGGTGTAGACGACTGGAGAAGGGTCTGGGTCGAATGAACAATGAGGTCACAGAAAACCAGACAAACGAAGTCAGGACAACTGTTGACTGTGGGCGGAAGAGGAACGTGTGCAGGAGGGAAGCAGAGCCACAGTTAACTGTGCGGCTCAGCTGGGACGGAGTCCACATCATCACTGTAAACCGAGTGCTAGCCCGTTGAGTCCTACAGTCTGTTGGGAAGCCAGGGCATGGGAAAGGTGTGGTTTGAGGGAGGCCCAAACCCTCCCCACCCATGGCAGAGGGCCAATGCGCAGTGCCTAAAACCAAACAGCCAAAAAGCAGCAAAAGTGCACCCCCGGAAACACCGAGCCCAGTGCTGACAGTGGCTGAACAGACAAGGCGCCATCTGCTATTTTTCCAGAGTGCGCCCCGTAAATCGTGTGTGTAAGTGAAGAAAATGCAAATATTTTAAGGGAGAAACAATTGCGGAACGGTAACCACTGAAGCTCAGGCATGGCTTACATATGCAGCGACAATTCAAAGTTATCCCTGAAACCATGTCCCTCCCTCTTCCCTGGGGTCGGCAGGCACCCACCCCTCTTGTGTGCACCACGGGAAGGCACCAGTGTCACTCTCCTCCTGCCTTGTCTTCACAGCGGGCACCTTCAGCTGACACAGGCCCATCAGGTTGTCGTTTGCCCTGTGGAAGCCCTCATGCTCAGCCAGAGTCTGCTGCAGGCAACTGAGGAGTGTCCCCACTCAGTGTCCCTTAGCCTGCGTGTGTGTGTGTGTGTGTGTGTGTGTGTGTGTGTGTGTGTGTGTGTGTGTGTGTGTGTGGTATAGTAGTGACAGTATGAGGATACAGCAGGTGGGAATGTCCCCTGCAAGGCCACCGGCCAGTCCTCATTTGTAAAGGTAACACACAGCCGATCCCAAGTCCAGCCAGCCTATGTCAGAGTGCACGCCCAGGCCTCACACAGCAGGGTTTCACATGCAGCCATTGCTAGTCGAGCCCCTTGCTTTTAACTCTGAAGGGTAGGAAGCCCATCATATCTGCAGCCCCTGCTCAGTGGCTTGTCCCAGAGGCAGGGCCCAGGGACTGTGAGGGGCTCCTGCAGTGACACAGCAGACCTCAATTCCAGGCTAAGTCACCCAGGGTGCTCATGAGGGGTACCCAGCAGAGCCCAGAGCAGGTGCTCAGCAAGCGGTTGGGGCCGAGGGTGTGACCACGGGGACTGTAGGCTGCCCTGTGCCTACTGCACTCTCACCGCGGATAGGGATGCCCAGCTGGCCATGGAGCAGTTAACTGTTGGGGGGGAGGTACAGAGAGGCGGCCACAGCCCCCAGACATGCTCTGGCCATCACTCTCTCCAAATAAGCAGCTTGGCCAATGCCACTTCCAACCTGGGAGGCCTGACTTTACCCTGGGTACTGAAAAGACACCAGTATTCTAAAGAATTGTTTTGAAAGCTTTATACCTCCCTGGCAAGATGGATTAGCTGAATCAGAAAGGCCCTGGGTGGCATGGGGTGTTAAGACACACCTGTATGCGGCATTGCCTGCTCTGGGCAGGGGTAGGGCTGGGTGGGGGGAGAAGAAACACCAGGCTCCTTCCTGCTGTCAAATTCCAGAAGCTCCATGAAGACAAGAGCAGGAGCCAGACCCTGAGGTGTCACTAAATGTCCTGCTCAGCTCTGCCAAGGTTTGCTGGTTTTGCCATTTTGTTTTCTGGGATGGTGGTTGGTGAGGGGAGGGAAATTTTAATATGTTACCGTATCAGCAAACTATAATTACCCTGTGTCTTGTCTCTAAGAATATATGAAAAAGACTGGTGCCGTTCTAAGTATGGGTCAGCCAAGCTGACCCGAGACCCTGAGGCCGGGCACGGAGGAAGGCCCAGCGTCCTCCTGACCAGTTCTGAACCCCAGCCCGCAGGGTCCCTTTTGACTGCTGGGATCCCAACCTGTGGAGTACCAAGGTTGGGGCTGTGGGGATATGCACCTTCCTCCTTTCCTGAAAAAGTCTTCCCAGAGCAGGACCCTTTGAAATCATGAAGTTCCTCCAGGTAAACACACCCATATGAAGCCAGAGGAATTAGTGTCACGTGCAGAGGCACGCAGAAGGCCCGGTCAGGTGCCAGGGCTGAGTGACCTTCGGAGAAGGTGCCCAGCAGAGGGGCTTTGGCACCAGCAGACCCTGATCCCTCAAAGTCCTGAGCTACCACCTTAAAGAACCACAAGACCCTTACCTCTGGGGTGGGGGTGAGAGCCATGACCACAGGAGGGTGAGGAGGGTGACCGCAACCTTCCTGAGCACCTGCCACGCGCAGGGGCCCTGCTAAGACGTTTGATCATGTCATTTCTGAACAAGGAAAACCATCCCACAAAGCCTGGTTGGATCTATTACATGGATTCCTTCTCACACTTATTCCCAGAAGTCTCAGGTGCCTCTTAAAGGGTACACCAGAAACTGGTTGCAGAGGAGGGGACTGGGGAGGACAACAAATGTTCCCTGTTTACTCCTTTGTACCGACTGGAATTTTCCCATGTGCTACAATATTGGTATTTCAGGTATTACTGAAAATAAAAAAGATGAGGAATCCATATGGTTATACCAGTAACAGTTCTCAGAGTGTGGTCTGGGGGTTGGTGGGGTTGTGGTCACAGCCCAAGGGCCTCGGGCAGCCCCACCGTCCGGGTGTCAGTGTGCCTGGTGGGCTCGCTGCATAAAAATAACCCGAGCGGTGTTATCGACGGGTTATTATTACCGGTGCGACCCGGGGCTTTCTGAGCCCAGCGAGCTCGCTCTGCCACTTTCCTGTTGGCTGCCCTTGGCCCTGGAAGCCAAGCTGCGGTGGTTATCGACCAGGCCCAGCTCTCAGCAAGGTTTTCCTCTCCAAAGAGGTTTCAGCTTTTCGCCTGCAGCTATTTTTAGGGGCCCGGACTCCACAGATGTGGCCTCTCTCAAATGATCCCCTGTGGCCAGGCCTGGGAGGAGCCCAGGACGCTGGCTGTACTGGGCAGCTGTCTTGCGGGGGGAGGGCAGGATCTTCCTGACAGTGGGCAGCGCCAGGCTTCATGCACAGGGCCCAGCTTGCCTGATCCCTCGGAGCCCGCTCAGGCTGAGATCTTGTCTGGATGCTTCTGGCCTGTTTTCTGGGTAACTAGGGGTAAATTCTGGGGCTGGGCGCCTGAAATCCCACCATTAGCAAGCCAGGCCTCTGAGTTAAAACTTGACCCCTTTAAAATGCAAATTCACGTTGGGTCACTACCACCTCAGTGTGCACTTAGTAGCCCCCTTGGCTGGGCAGAGCTGGATGCAAACTCCTAGAATGGAAAAAAAGCTGAGAATAGGGTGACCGAATAGCAAAATCACATTCCACTGACCTCACTGTCCCAGGGCCAGCCACGCACAGTCCACTCATTCCCCGGGTGACATGCAGGGTCGTTTCTACCCAGGATTGTGTCTGACCCTCTGGAAAGCCCTGAGAAGGTTGCCCTAGGGCAGGAAGGTGTCCTTCAGGGGCAGGGCATGTGGGAGGGGTCAGCAGGGGCTTACCTCGAAGTGGATGGCCCCATTCCCGTCGGCATCGAAAGCGTTGAAGAGGAAGTGCGCATAGGTGGTGGCATCTGAGGAGAGCAAGGGAGAGGGCCGGGGTGTGTTGGGACCACCTGGCAGCTCGTCCCCCACCCCAGGCAGCCCTACCCAGGCAGGGTTTCCTACTGCATACTGGGCGGGACACCCCCTTCCACTGGGACAGAGGCAGCCCCAGGCCCCTGCAATGCAAGGGGTGGCATGGTGATGGGGGTGGCAGGAGGACTTCTTCCTCCACACAGGGGCTCAGCAGGCGCTTTGGAGGAGCCAGGGGGCTTGCCTTGGACTCACCTCCCTGAGGGAAAAACTGCGAGTAAATGAGTTTGAAGGTGTCTTCATCCACCAGGCCCGTGGGACACTCCTGCAGCGGGAAGGCACCCCTCTCAGCGACCTCAGCCTCCCCCAGCTCCATGCCCTGACTCCACAGAGCCTGGCCTCTCTCCCACTTCTGAGGGGGTGGGGTCGCTGCCCAAAGCACTGCAAGGCAGCGGGTAGGCAGGAAGGGAATGGCTGGTCCACTCATGCCAAGCTGTTCCCCCATCTTCTTCTTCCCCGTACCAGCATTGGAGACGTGAAGAAAGGAGCATGGCGGTCATCACAATACTGATTCTGGGGCCTGCTCCACCCCCAGACAGCTCTCCCACAAAATGTGAGCCCCACAAAGTCCCCTGGGATAGTTACTGTACTCTGGAAGTTTCTAGAAGGTTTCCCTGGGCCAAGGACCCTCCTGCCTGAAGTCAGGAACAGGGAGGACTAGATGGGTCAAGGTCTCCAGGGCCTCTCTCAGGGAAAACAGGAGCACTCACGTTCTTGAAGCCCCTGTATAGAGACTGCAGCTCCTTCTTGGTGAACTTGGTCTGTGCCTGCAGCTGGTCCAGCCCCTCCGGCTGGTGGCGCACCATGGACAGTTCTAGCTCACTGTCACTGCTGTCTAGAGGGAAACACAGACCCGGAGAGTGAGACATGTGGCCATGCTCCTCCATCTTAGCATGGCCTGAGGTATGGGGTAGAGGCACCCTCCTTGCATGACTACCATGTACAGTCACCCAGGCTGTGCACTGCACAAATGGAGGGGCTATGACTGAAGGGCACACTCAGAAGTTGTGCCTCATGGCTGGTCCACTTCCTTGCTGTTCTTGCCCTAGAGAGACACTGAACAAGGAGAGGCAGGAGGGAAAAAGACAGCATGACAGGCATGAGAAACCCTTGAGCTTCAAGCCCAATTCTTAGACCACCTCCTCCATGCGGCCCTCCCTGACTTCCCCCAGGAATGACAAGGGTGCCCCTCATGGCCCTTTGTGGCCTAACATGCTGCTGTTCTACATCTGGTGCAGGGATGCTAATCACACTTGGGTAAGAGGTCAGACCTCCAGGGCCCAAAGGGCGGGGACCAGACCTTTTCTTTCAAAACAATACACCAAATGTTAACTAATCATGGCTATCTTTGGGGGAAGGTGGGATTTCAGATGATCTTTATTTTTATTTTTTTATTTATGATTTTTTTTTTTCATTTTCGTAATTTCTTTTGGTACGACATGCATCACTTTTACAATACAAAGTAAAGCTATGGACAGAACAGCATCGAGTACCAAGAGCAACCCCTTCCCATTGACAGGCGAGGCACGAGCCCGGCTACACCACCAGCCCCGTCTCCCTGTGCACCACGCAGAACAGAGTCCACGATTATCTGTAGCTGATGCTGGCTGCTGCCTCTCCCACTGCAGCATGAGCTATTTGGGGGCAGCCTTCCTATGCAGCTCATCCTGTGCCTGCGGTGCCTAGGACGGTGCTGGGCATGGGTCCCAGGTTGAGTCTGCTCATGCCTGGGTCTCTCCCGTGAGCATGGCAGGAGAAATGCAGCCCGCACTGCCCACTTTCAGCAAGCTCAAGAGCACCCCGAAAGAGCAATCGGATGGTTCCCTTGGTCCATGCATGCTCCCAACATCCAAGATAACTATTTTATATTGTCTTTAAGCTTCCAGTACCTGTTTCCTCATCCTTACCCTCAGCTTGCTTCCTATTTCACTGAGAAGACAGAAACCACAGAAGAAAATTTCCCCAAACTGCTACCACTGCACCCACCTATCTACCTGCATCTGGTCCAGACATCGCTTCCCCTCCTTTGCAGGGGGACTGTCCCTGTTCCTGGCAAAGGCAAACCCTCCACTTGTATGGGGATCCCAGCCCCTCTCACCTACTCAAGCACGTGGTTCCATCCACTCTCCTCACTTTTTCCTCATCAACTCCCCCACCCCACCCACCTTCTGAATTACTCCCATCATCATATGGACATACTGTTCAATCTGGCAAACCTTAGTCAAATTAAGTACAGACAAGCCCCGTAAGCCAGCAATTCCATTCTGGATAAACATTCCACACAGATTCTCCCCCAGCTAGGGGGACCTGTGCACAGAAACAGTAATTTTGGTTGGGGGAGTTGGAGAAAACCCAGGGGTCCATCGCAGGCAGAATGGGCAGGCAAAATAGGGGGGATGCACACCAGGGAGAACCACGTAGACAGGATTAGATACACACACAGCAGCAGGGACTGATGTTAATGATAAGACGCTTCCTTCAATTAAGAGACAGACATTTCAGACTGGATAAAAGAAAGACCCAACTATATGCTATTTACAAAAAGGATACCCTTGATACAAAGACACAGATTTAAAGTAGAAGGGCAGGAAAGGATAAGAAAGCTGAACATTTCATAATGATACAAGGATTAATTCATCAAGAAGACAGAATCATCTGAAATACACATCACCTAGTAAAAGAGTTTTGAAGTACCTGAAGCAAAAAATTTGGAACTAAAGGGATAAACATTTAAACTACAATAATACTTGAAAATTTTAACATCCTTTTCCAGTAAATGATACAACAAGTAAAGATATGAAAGATTTGGAAAACACTATCAACCAATTTGATTTAATTAATTACAGAACACTATACAAAAACTGAAGAATACACATTTTTTTTCAGGAGCACATCCTGTGGTTACCAAGATATACCAGATGCTAGAAAATAAAACAGACTCTGACCACAATGATATTAAGTTAAAATTCAAAACAATAACATATTTAGAAAATCTCAAATATTTGGAAATTAAACAATACACTTCCAATTAACTCATAGGTCAGAGAGGAAAAGGTGAATTTTTTTTTTCTTTTTGTCTTTTATCGCGACCGGCAACGGATCGCAACCCTCAGTGTCGCGCCCGTACTGGACCGGGACCGGCAACGGGATTGCAACCCTCGGTGTTGCGCCCGCACCTCGCTCAGCCAGTGAGCGGCTGGTCTGTATGTGGGATCTGAACCCTCGGCGGGAGCGCCGCCGCGCTCCCAAGCGGCGCACTGTAGCAGTGCGCCACCGGGCCGGCCCGGAAAAGGTGAATTTTGAAATATTTTAAATTGAATAATAAAGAAAATACAGCATATCAAAATTTGCTGGATGCAGGTAAAGGTGTGTTTAGAAGGAAATTTATGGCCTTGGGTATTCCTTTATTAGAAAAGAAGATGGGTGTAAGACCAATGACATAGCTTCTAGATCTAAGCTTTTCAGAATCTAGAAAAAGCAGAGCAAATTAAACTCAAAGAAAGTAGAAGAAAACATAATAAAAATAAGAGTAGAAATCAATGAAAAAGAAACCAGAGAAGCATAGAGCAAGACCAGTAAAGTTATTAAGAAACTCAACAGGCAAGTCATAGACTGGGAAAACACAGCTCTGGTACATGCATCTGACAAAGGACTTGTTTGTAGGATATATAATGAATGGCTACAAATCAACAATTATAATAAGACTAATAGCTCAATTTTTTAAACAGGTGAAACACAAAGACACTTTACAAAAGAAAATATAGAAATGGTCAATAGCACAGGAAGAGGTGTTTGACGGCATTAATCATCAAAGGATTGCAAACAATCCAATGCAAAATACAAAATACCCAATCATCTATCATCTCAAAAAGACTGACAACACCAAATGTTGGCTAGGATGTGGAGCAACCGGAACTCTCAAATATTGTTGGTGGTGGTATAAAATGGCATAACCACTCTGGAGAACTGCTTGGCAGTTTCTTATAATGTTAAAATGTAAAAATGTTACATCAACCATATGACCTATTTATCCAGGATAAATGAAGGGATATGTTCACAAAAAGACTTGTACAAGAACATTTAAAGCAGCTTTATTCATAGTAGTCCAAAACTGAGAACTGCCCAATCAATCAACAAAAGCAGGGAACTGTGGCACATTTACATAAGAGTACCATTCTCCATTAAAAATGAATAAACTACCGATATATGCAGCAATATGGATGCAAAAATATCATGCTGAGCAAAAAAGCCAGACATAAAAGACTTTATACTATATGATTCCATTTATACAAAGTTCTAGAACAGGCAACACTAATGCACATGACAGAAAGCTGTATAGCACTGGTAGTTAAAAGGGTGTATACAACTGTCAAAACTCACTGAAATAAGCATTTAACACCTGTGCACTTTCTCATGTGTAAATTATACTCCAATTAACAAAAAGGAAACATACTAGTTAGACTTCTGCTTTCAGTCATGATGAGATTGAGTGTCAGCCTTACCTTCCCACCGCAAACAACTTTAAAACTAGAAGAAATATGTGTGAAGCAAGTGTTTTCAGGTTTTAGACTACAGCGCAGGGTTATGATCTTTGAGATTAGGGACACCGAAGTGAGCTCCACATTCACCCTGAATATCTGTCTGAATACACTTTCCAAATTATGGCAACAGGGAGGTGGGACATAAGCCAAGGAGCAGCAGTCTTGCTGAGATGACAAGGCAGAGATCAGAGTTTGGGGCTGCTGAGGCAGGTGGAGTTTTCATATCAGGGTCCTGGAGAGAAAGGAGCTGCACAGAGGGGTAGCCCCAGAAGTCTCTGTGGGGGTTCACCTTGGACTTGGCCAAGGGCTGGGCTACACATGTTCAGAATGATACTCTAGGGGGGTGGTGTATAGGGAGACAGAGACCTGAAAGGACATATCAGAATTCATGCAGTGATGGGAAAGAATGGGAGTATGGCTCAGCCAGAATGCAGACACCTCCTTAAGTACCTCAGGTGCTCAGCTGAAACCCAACCAAGGCCTTGAGTGAGGGCGTGTTCTAGACCTAAGGACAAAGTCAAAACAAACCCGCTCTAACAAAGCCTAAATTAAAGTCTGTGAAGATCAAGTGGATCTGCCAGTAATTTAATTGCCTGCAAAACTAAAATCCAATAGCATTTATATTAAAACAACATAATCCAGATTCCCTACAATATACCATTTACAATGTTCAACAAATAATAAAAAA